CGGCAGCCGTTTGGGGAGGACGGCTGTAAGCAGCACAACCTGCCGCCGACCGCTCCTCCTTCAGCACACGCCGAAGCTCGCAGCTCCTCCGGCTTCCCCGGGGCCGCGGGAACAGCCTGGACTCCCTCACCGAGGAGGTTTGGGTTAACGCTAAATTATATGTACCAGAATTGAAGCATCATTTCTATTAAGCCTCTCAGTCCTTCCTTCTCCTGCCCAGCACGAGGGGAGCCCGTCCCCGCTCTCACCGCCCTGCCCGCAGGACTCGGCTGCCTCCAGCTCCCGACTCCGTGATTTTCCAGCCACTCTCCGGTGCGGCATCCCACCCCACGGGCAGCCTGCCTTCGGCCGGCCCAGCCTCCGACTGGTGAAAATGGTCGTTTCTCTTGTTTTAAACTCCTGCTCATGAGTACAACATTTCTGATAATAATCATAATAATAATCATAATAATCATAGTACTAAAAACGGTATTTACAACAAGCTCCAGGTCAGAATTACACACCAAGCAAACACTCAGCACCACAGAGAGTAGGACAGGGTTAATATCTCGCAGATACCTTCTCAGATCCCACCAACGCGGGACACAGACATTTGACAGTTTCAACCATTTCTTACACACAAACATTTTGCTTAAATTACTTTTAAATTTTTTTTTTTTAAACTTTTTAAAATTTCTCGCCACTATATGAATGAGGTGATGCTGGCGGTGATGCCGCGCTCTACACAGATGCTTATCTAAGACAGCTGCTACTATAAACTGATCGTTAGCTACTGTTAAGAAACTCAACCCTCGGTTTCCTTCCCTTTTCCCTCTTTGCCCTAAATCTTTTTTTTTTTTTTTTTTGTGTCACTGGGCAGCGCTGGGCCTTTCTAACAGTCCTGTCCTCCCCCCGGCCCGGGAGGAGGGCTTTGGGAGTAAGGTAGCCCTTCCTTTTAGGAGCAGAGTGTCCCCTAACATCAAGCCGTGGCCATCGAGGGATCTCTCCCGAATCCAGCCGGGACTTCTGGGGAGGTTCGCAAAGAGCCCCCGGGTCTGATCTCCAGCAGCTGCTGCTCTTTGGCTTTCCGCGGGGTTTCTGCGACCGCCCGATGCTCACCCCGGGCTGTGATCAATTTTTTGCCTAATTAAAGCACAGGGAAGGCACGAAACCTCAGCTTCTGACAAGACTCCGTGATGATTTCTTTTTCAGAGGGGAGGAGAGGCAAGGGTTGTTGCCTCTCGTTATTCCCCGTGCAAACCCCTCATCGTCACCGCCTGCCATCGCCACGCGGAGCGCGGCCCCGGGGAGCCCCGGGCTGGGCTGTGCCGTGCCCCCCTCTGCACCCCCTGTGTGTTTAAATTATGCCCCCAGGATCCTGCAAAGGCCACCGCAGGAGTCCCTCATCCCACCCACCGAATGGCTCTTCGGAGGCACCGCGTGCGGAGGGCACCAGTTACTGATAATTAAAGGTCTCGGTGCCTCGGATGCCCCTTCGGTTTATTCTGGGGACTGAGAGGGCAGCCAGGACGGAGGGGCCGTGGCGAGGCGGAGGGAGCAGTGCCCCTGGTGTAAATGCCGCCCTGCGCCGTGTCCCCGAAACTCTGCACCGCTCTGTTAAAAAAATAGCAACCCAGCAAAGCACTGGACGGAGGGGAGTTCTTGTTACCTTCTGCCTCGCATGAAAGCAGCTTCCACCGTCTCCTCCGAAAAGCTTTGCCGCGGGACCGCGCTGCTGCAGGGCTGAGTCCTCAGCACCGCGTCCTGCGAGGCCCCGCTTGCCGGGAGGTGGCCCTTCCTGCTCTTCAGATGCAACATTTCCACTTAGGTTTTCAAGGCAGAGGCAGGGCCGGGGCGAGGTGAGCAGGTCTGTGGGTCCCAGCGGGAGGGTGGCAGCCCCTCGCAGTGCACGGTGGCTGCTCGGACCTTGGCTACCTCCGTAAGCCATGACTCTAGCAGATGAGGAAGCCCATGGGCTTTGACATTACTGCCGTGCTTGCATGTTCTCTACTCATCCCTGCCTCCATCAACAGACAATTTTTTCTTAAAAGTAGGCCTTGAGAAGTTAAAGATAGACAAGGAATGAGCATGGGGACATCTCTTCACCCTGACTGCAGAACTGCTCCCCTCTTGGCTCCCTCTCACCCAAAGCCGCAGGTCTGGCATGCCCTTGCCTCCCAAGGTGCTGCCTGCAGCCCGAGCTCCGGGGCTCGTCTGGCAATCTCTGGTCTCAGTGTCTGCCCTGTAATGGCACCAAAGCGTCACATCCACCCTTGGAAAGAGGGAAGGCTGATTATTCTGTTCACTAAAAGGCTACTTCACAACCATGCACCGTCACTATTGGATTTGCTTTCTTACTAGAACGAAACCTCATGCTTTGGGAGTGCTGGAGAGCCCGCAGACCGAGCGCCCTCTCCCAGGGCTCCCGTGGAGCTGGGGACGCAATCGCTGTCTGCGGTTCTCCTGGGCTGGTCAGCCAAGACCTCTTGGTCCCCGCTCTGCCGGGGACAGGGCGGCTCAGTCTATGTGTTCCTCCAGCCTGTGGCCAACCAGGGCATCAGGCGGTGCCCACCATGCGGGGGACTTGCCGCTACGGGGCACCCGGCACCGAGCTCTGCGTGGAGACCTTCACCTACTTTCACAAGGGCCATGGAAGAATCATCCAAAGATGAGGACTTTGGGTGACTGCCTGCCTGGGCTGGCTCCAGATGCAGCCACGAGACGGGGGCGGGTCTGCATGCCACAACTCCTGAGCCATCCCAGCCGTCTCTCGTTCCTCTCTCCTACCACTGGCAAACATGGGGCTGTTGCCTATTCCACTTCACACACAGAAATTATCACTTACTTCCCATTATTCTGAAAGTGGTATTTGGCTCAGAGCAAACACCAAGAGGAGTAAAAGCCCCGGATAAGAAATCCGTATCTCCGTGACGCTGCTGGTTGAATTTATTAATATCTTAATTTTTTTTTTACATCAGTTTAAGAAATATTTTTTTAAAAAAGGACAAAACCCTCCAAAGAAGCTGTTTGACTGACTGATCGATTCTCTATTTCATGTGAACTAGTTGCTATTCTGCTTAGAGGTCCCTATGATCTGTGAATCCCCACAAGTACTGACGATTAAGGATGCAGAGATAGAGAAGCGTGTAGCTGGGGGACAAACACCAGGGGAGGGGGGGATGGAGAACCGAATGTTGCATCTAGACAAACAAAATAAAATGTGTTGGTTGGTCGATTGGTCGGTTTGTTAACAGGAATCAGGTGCTAGATGTGTAGAAAAGCCCTTTATCCAGAGATCTCCTCCCGCTGTTCCTTGTTCCTGCGAACTTCAGCTGCGTGCAGTTCCTGCAAAGACGGGAGAGATGACACCAGGCTAACACCTTCTGCCCTTGCAGCCTCTATTTTCCTTCTCTCCTGCACACAGGATTTGCACCAGACAAAACAAAAGAGACCAGTTTCCCATCCGACACACCCCGAGGACAGTGGGTTACGCCTGCAAGGAGCGAAGCACCTCATCTGTGGGAGCCCAGAGGTGATGCAAACCTACAGCGAACGCCTTCACGATTCCCCTCTTCTGCAAAGCCCTTCAGCCACGCAGTCACCGGGCATGGAGTGGGCCTGATCCTGTGCCTCGGGCTTGCACTTACCAAGATCAGCCAGAGGGTATTTTCTCTACTGACCTTGAAGGACATAACCCCCCTCCTCGTGCTCCTCCGGGGCGGTGCTCCTCCACAGCCCGCTTTCCACCAGCAACAAAACACCGCTCTCTTGTGCCCATCATTCTGGGATGACCCCGCAGGGACCAGACCCCAAACCCCCTCCGCGGGCATCAGCACCCAGCCCTCTCCCGGGGCATCGCACTCGCCTTCTCGCGGAGCCGCTCCCTCAAAGCGGCGAGATGTGCTTCGCGGATCTCCCTGCTCAGCTCCATCTTGTAGTTGAGCTTCTCCTCGGCCAGGCGGCTGAAGTTGTTGTTCTCCTCCAGCGCCTTGTGCAGCACCTCCCGCTCATGTTCCCGCTTCTCCGCCAGCTGCTTCAGCACCTGCGCCTCCTGGGTCTGCCGAGGCAAGGCGACGGGAGAGGTGTAAGGGAACCAAAGAGGCTCCTCTAGCCTTCAGCTTCAGGCTTTCTGACCATCTCCTCTGCTCGAAATCACTCTGCCACCCCACTCCATCCCATAACGCTCTTGCTTGGAAGACGCTTTTTCCTGCTATGGGGCAATGTCTGCTGGGTCCGGTGCTCCGGGTGGGCAGGTGATGCAACACTGCACCCACCGGCTCGGCAAAACTGAGGTGACAGGCGTGTGGGCACAGAGTCCCCTCTCCGAGTGTCACCTCGTCCTTTGCATTATTTCAGCTTTCTCTCCCCTTACCCACCACCGTTTGTAACATTCACACTTTGCCTTACTCTGCTGGTTTGCTCCTTTTCAATAGTTTTCACCAGAAGGCATTTTCTGTGGCACGCACAATAAAATGTGGGAAATAGCACAGCCAGCTGTTTGAAAAGCAAGGCTGTATTTAGGTTTGAAGTTTAAGTTGGGTGTGCGACCAACTGCTACACGTCCTGGAGCGTTAGCTGGCAGGAACTGTCCCCCTGGCCAGGTCCGAGAGGACCCCACACAGCTCTGCGGTTTAAGGGCAGGGTGATGATCATCAAGTCCAATTCCCTGCCTAAACCAGGCTGCAGAACCTCACCCCAGGACTCCCATGTCTCCCCCGGCAATTTACAGTGGACTAGAACAAGAAGTGTAAGAACTATTTCCAGCCTTTTCGGATTGCTCCTGCTAAGCCAGTTTTAGGGTTTGGTGCAATTAGTACCTGTCACAGAAAAGTCACAGAAAAATCACTGCATCTACAGGACACCTCGTTACCTTCCTCCTCTCTTCTGCAGCCTCCAGCCGCCTCTGCAGCTCCTCCAAGGACAGGTCCTTCTTCTTGGGAGGGGAGGAAAGGATCGGGCTCTCGGGAGATAAATCTGAAGGGGACTTCAGGATCACTTCGAAGCTCTGGCCTGATGCCCTCTTATCCAGCTGCTTCACCTCCATATCTTTGGGGGGAAAAAAAACCCAGAGGCTCTGTGGACCTGTGACACTCAGGAGTGTGTTCACCTGGGGGCACTGAGCTCTTCACATAGGAATTAGGGTGTCCCCATGTCCTGGCATGGGTGATTTTGTTCTATCTCCAAAATTTCCTGATTAATGATCAGCTTCATTCCCCTCCAGGCCAATGCAATTAATTTAAACTCACAGCATAATTACAGAAAGGCCGTATTGCTGTTAATATCTTGTATGTCACCCCAGTACAGAGCGGACAGCCTCTGCAAGCAGCTCCTTTCTGGGAAAATGTGGGTTGCGTGAATAGAATACCCTGTGAAAGCAGATTAAACAGAAAGACCCCGGGCTGAGGCATGGCTTGCTGCTCCAGGATGGGACAGCCCAGCGCGCTGATGCGCTCCCACATTGCCTGCAGGAGCATCTTGCAAACGATGCTGTAGCTCCTGTGAGAGCTGGTTACGTACCTCCATACTGGTAGATGGTATTAGGATGGGGCTGGGTGTGGAAACAGGAGCAGATGAGGGAGAGCAGAGACAGCTCCTTCATTTTCTCCTTGTAGGCTGAAAAATATGAAATAGCAATGAGAAGAGAGTCTAATGGCAATGGCAGCTCTTTTTCACGGAGAAATGAAGCAAGTAGACACAAGGAAACCCATCTGCAGCTACCAGACTCTGTGGAGGCTTTTCCAGGCTGCCATAGCTTGCCAAGAGGTCTCCAAGGAGCATCCTTGGAGAGTCCTACAGCTGACTAAATTAGCTGCTGCTGTGGCAAATGTCATGGGAATCACAGAATCATTAAGGTTGGAAAGGACCTTTAAGATCATCAAGTCCAACCATCAACCCAACACCACCATGCCCACTCAGCCATGTGCCGAAGTGCCATGTCTACATGTTTTTTGAACACCTCCAGTGATGGTGACTCCACGAACCCCCTGGGCAGCCTGTGCCAATGTTTGACCACCCTCTCGGTGAAGAAATTTTTCCTAATATCCAATCTAAACCTCCCCTGGTGCAACTTGAGGCCATTTCCTCTTGTCCTATCGCTTGTTACTTGGGAGGAGACCAATGCCCATCTCAACACAACCCCCTTTCAGGTAGCTGTAGAGAGCGATGAGGTCTCTCCTCAGCCTCCTCTTCTCCAGACTGAACACTCCCAGTTTCCTCAGCCGCTCCTCATCAGACTTGTGCTCCAGACCCGTCACCAGCTTTGTTGCCCTTGTCTGGACACGCTACAGCACCTCAACGTCCTTCTTGGAGTGAGGGCCACAGTCGGAATTTACCACATCTGGAGGTGTAAGTTTCTGTGCAGGATTTTCCCTCCAAAGGAGCTAAAGCACTGCAGCCCGTGTAGTTAACCACATCGGGACAGCTGCCCAGACCTTTCTCCATTCCCCTTCCTGACCCAGAGGTAAAATGATGCCCATCAACACCTGGAAACATTGCTTAACCCCTGGCAAGTTCCCAAAATTTCACAACTCAGCATTTCTGACATCAGGGTGCAAGATGCAGTCAGCAATGTGTGAAGAAACGGTTCAGGGGTGCTGCTAATGGGGGGAAGTGCTGTAACCCAACCTATCAAGGTACCTCCTTCCCTGCAGAAGCAGATAAGGAGGGATGTAAGTGGATTCTATCACCACCTTGGCCCATGCAGGCACAGGTTGTTACTGGTCTGCAATCACAGTAAATGTTGTTCCCTGTGAAGGACAGGGAAATACACAATCCCTTCGAGCTCTGCTGCCACAAGCCCTCCAGTTTGCTCAACATTCCTGTGACTGGAGGACACACCGCAGCGTCCTCAGTGATCACATTTAAGACAGCGAACTGTTAGCACACACTTGACAAAGAACCTCAGAATAGAAGCAGGACTTGAAAACAGAGAGGTGCCTTGTCAGGCTGTCAAGTTCTGTATCACACCAGTGTAACCCTCACAGCATCACTGCTATGTCACTGGTCAGCAGCTGATGGCTCAGCAGTGGCGACTGCTGTCCCACGGATGCTGTGAGGCTCTGCCCTGGACTGGCTGCTCAGGGGACACTCGGGCACATGGGGATAGAGTCTTCATGGCTGCATGTCCTGCCAAACCTGCCCTGAGCCTCCTCGTGCCTTCCTACCTCCAGCATCCACCACAGGGCGCAGGCATTCTGGTGTCCAGCCTTAGCTCTGCCTCTGGATTTCGCACATATCCTTGTGCTTCTGGTCTTGGTTTGTCCTTTCCTTACTGAGCTCCTGTTTTGACCTCGAGCCAGAGGTAAATCTGCAACCTGCTGCCAATGCCACCTTCACAGCAAGATCCTCCACTGGGTCAGGAAAGGGAAATCCCCAAAACTTTCTGATATGAAAAGGCATTAGAGGCAAAACAATTCTGGGGAAAAAAAAATCATTCTGTGTACCATGTGTCCTCAGGAACGCCTTTCAGATCTTCTCCTCTGCCTTCCTGCAGCTGCTCTGGTGGAAAACAGTGGTTTCATATGTCTAGTTCATACTTGCACTTATTTTTCCTCCTAGGTACAGACCTTCATCCTAATTAACACCCTCCTTTTGCTAACTGCTAGTCCCTGAAGCTCAGATCTTTACTGAATGTTTTCCAGTTTGCTCCACATTCTGATTTTAATACCCTGCCCAGTCCTGCTGTTAAATGTAAACCAAACAAGAACAGTTTACATCAGCAGTGCCAGCCACAAAGCAGGACATCTTTGGTTTTGTTCTTAATGAAAAAAGTCTTTGGAAAGCCTCTGAGAGTGCTGTATCGTACTAGAAGTCGTGGCACGCAGCAGTAAGCTAATGTATCTCATAATGTGCTGCCAGGAGCCCAGAGGAGGGTCCCCTGGACTAAATGAGAGACATTATCATTTAACAGAAACAAACCATGCACTGAGATCGTTGCTCTACCATTATATCCAGCCCTGGGTGAAACCAAGATATTAAGCAGATGTGCCATATCCCTGATCGACTAGTTTAATTGTCTCAAAGCACTTGCTACAGAGCATGGTGCTTCGTATTTCATTACTTGAATTTCAGTAGGTCTCCCCAGTACTGGTTTCCCGGCCCTCTGTGTAGATGAGTGTATGTTGCAGTCCCTCCTTTCAGGAGGTCTGATTTCGCAGCTGCCTCCACTCCATCGGGATCTTGCCTGTCCCGCTTTTCCTTCTGTAGAGCAAATGGACCGTCCCTCTCCGTCAATTAAAATGAAAAGGAGCGAGAGGACAAAAGGACACCGCTTCACTGAGCCGCGGCAGTGCTTTAATGAGCTATGGAAGTGCT